TATTTCATTTTGATGCATGCACATCATATGGAAAATTTTCCAGCATCTTTATGTATTTATAAGATGGATTAAAATGACAATTATGTTTTTAAATAATGATTGATTAACGCAAAAGTGGAGAACTAGAATAATTATACTTTATTTTTGGTGGTCAAAGAATATGCTTTAATATAATATTTTCTATGACCTATCAACGACACCTGTTATAAATTTAAACTTATATAATTCCGTCACAAAAACCAACCAAAATATTATTTAATTAATTGCAATTTATTAAACTGTTTTCGATTTCAAAAACAAGTTTTGTATTTATTTAGGCTTTGGCGCTCAGTTACTTTATTTTTTGAACTTTTTAAATTTTCATGTTTTTATGCAAAAAAAAAAAAAAAAAAAAAACTTATAAACACATTTTTTTTAACTTACTTAAACCAGTTTTTATATATAAAAAAAAAGTTAATTTCCAACTATATCTTTAATTGATTATATAAAAAAAACATATTCATTTTTTATAATTTTTCAGCTAGCTTAATTATGAACTAGTTTTTAGAAAACATTAATTTCTTTTAGCTAATACATCAACCTAGTCTTAATAAACTTACTTTTCAATTAATACATCAAACTAGTCTTAATCAAACTAGTCTTAATAGTAAATTATTCATAATTAACGCTTTTATGTTTATATGGAACCTGATTAAAATATCATTTTTTTAGCACAAGAGATAGCTAGTATAGAGCTATTCAGAAAAGAATGAAAAGCACATTCATGTTTCTTCAATAATTGTAACCGGATAACAGCAGAAACCAGCTGAGCTTCACTCTAAAAGCTGCATGCTTGGTTCTCCAAAAACCATAAAAACTAATTAATTAACACCAAAATCAAATTTTTACCATCTAAGGCTGAGGAGATTCCGGGGATGTGTTTCTCTATACGCATCCCTCAGGCATATCTCTCGATCGGGGTAAAACCTTTTTAACCATTAATCACGCACTGTATGTACACATAGAAGATGTGTATATGCATGAGTGTATGTATATATACGTATATATATGAGATTTTACTGTGCTTGTTCAGCCAAATCCTTTGAGCTTATGAAAGTGCCATGGAACCCGTATGGAACTCTAGATGGAAGTTTAACTGAAGCTTCCATCAACATGGTCATGGCGTTAATGATCTGCAGTTCTGATTTCCACGTCTTCTCGTCATGCACAAATGACAAAATATATCCATCATCTTCTCTCTCAGAGTTCAGGCCACTCGGAAGAAAAAACGGCTCACCGCCGTACCTCTCGTCGCCGTAGAAGAACTTCTTGATTTCTCCGGTGGTCAAGTCAACTTTTGCGAAGCCTGAAACTTTGGGCCATGGTTCAGCAATGGCGAGGTATGCAAACTGGGTTTTTCGACCTAGTTTGTCGCGGTTCACCATACCTGCTTCGAGGTTGACTTGTTCGGATTCATGGAGAATCGAGCGTTTTGTTGATCTACGAGTCTTTAGGTTTATTCTGATTTCTGATAAAACGCTTTTAAGATTCTCGTCGCATTCATTAAAAATGGAATCCGGTGGAGTCATGCATGAACCGATCACGACGACTTCGTTAGACTCCGGTTCTTCCCAAGCGTTCCATAAGTGAAAGCAGAATGTTTCCGGCGACTCCACCCATATCATGTCATCGGATGTTTCTGCGTTTTTTGGTAAAATCCCAAAACGAGACTTTTTATCCTTGTCGTAAATCACCGGTGATCCTCCTTTTATCATTTCTTGGAGTTTGAACACCACTTGTTGGTCGGGAACCACCACAAAGTTCTCGGTGATTGCGAAATCATGCATCATCGTCGGCACGTCTAATGGGATTTCAACGTCCGGCGACTTCCCTCCGTCTTTCGAAAACTTAAAGTATTTTAGATATGGCTTCTTGACGACGTCGTAGCTCAGAGCAAACATCTCTCCAGTTACCGGGTCGAGCTTCGGGTGAGCTATCATCGTCGACATGTGTTGCTCGGAGAAATCATACCGTCCAACCGTCTCTATATCTGACGACGGAGTAATCCTTATTTGATAAGGCAAATCATCTTCCGACATGGCGAGCAACCGGTTGTTGAAGTAAATCAGACCGGCGTTCGCAACACCCATGCCCTTGCTATGATCAACCAAACCCAATAATGATCGGGCATAAAATAAAGCCAACCGAGCAACACCGGAATGTCCATGAAGCTCACCTATTGCTTTCGGGAAAACAGGTCGACCCATCTCCCTCTCCTGAATAAGCCGATTAGTCTCCGTTAACTTACAGGAATAGCTCACAGAGTTCCCGTCGATGCTTACAGCATGAACCATACCATCGCCATCGAACAGGTGGTGCCCCGCGACAGGTTCAAAAAGTGGGTTAGCCCCATTGCGAACATACACACCGTTAATACAATCGGGTATGGATCCGTTAACTGGTAGATTATGTTTCACTGCTTGTTCCGGCACCGGAGCGAAGTTCCCGGAGATTTGTACACGTGGATCCGAAGTTTTGGGAAAAGGGTTTTCAGTTTCGCGTGAAACTAAGGCACCTTCGAACATATCCAATGCGGTGGCCGCAGCTCTTTGTAAGAGGTTCCATTGCAGTGGGTGGTGTGAGTCTTGTTGTTCTCTGTTAATGGTGTGTGGAAAATGAAGTAAGGGAGAAGACTGTAGAGCAGCACAGTTGATGGAAGCTTTTCTTGAAGGTTTGGTTGGTTTAATGGCGATGAATCGAATAGTCTGATTGTAGGGTTTGGAAGACAAAGAAGATGAAACTAACGTTGATGTATAAGGATTTACAGCCATTTATTTGGTTGTTGGTGTGAAGAAGGAATGAAGGGCTGGAGGTGTTAGTATTGGTGAATGAGAGAGAATGGGGAGGAAGGGGGGATAAATAGAGGAAGAAGAGAGGGAATGGGGCCCGACGGGGACAACAAAGGAGAAGACCACGTGTATATTACATGGTATTGGACATGACAAATATATTGGTAGACCACATACTTGTCTGTGTAGGAGTGTGGGGCCAGTTTATAGAAAGAGTTACGGTAAACTTATGGTCATTGATGGTGTCAATCTACAAGCACTAAGTTTATTATACGGGTGTCACATAATCCTACTTATCCTAACAAATCGTAATATTTTGAACTATTAAAACAACTATGCAGATTGGTGTTTGCTTTTTTTTTTTAATGGAAAATTGTATAATCTAATTAACCACTTTATAAAAGAAAAAATATATATAAAAAATGACCATTACAACTCATTTCTAACCCTAATTTTGTATTCAGTAAATAGGTATAGGGTCCAACCCGGTAATATAATCTCCCTATAAATAGTATTTTAAACCTATTTTGGACTTTATTTCAAGCACATTTATTTTCGACTTCATTCCGGACACCAACCCAATTGAAACAATATTTTCTTCTAGCAATGAAAAATATCATTTTTTATATGTAAGTTTCGATTATCTTTATAATTTTATGTTTCTAATTTAGGTTATATGATAAAAAGTAGATAATATATGCAATTTTATAGATATTGTTTGTTTTCCTTCAGTTTTTAGTGGTTTTAAGATTATTGTAGAATTACATATGGTTATATGTGTACACCAGATCAACAAACCTTAGAAATATTCTAATTCTGACTTGTCTGGAACACGTTCGGAAGGAATGGAACACGTTCGGAATGCCATAGAACATGTTTGGAATACGTAGATCACGTCCGAAATGTTGATCCAAAATTTGGTTCAGGAATGTGTTGATATAGAATTGTGTTCCGGAATGTCCTCCAGAACATACAACAAATGTCTAATTAATGATTCGTTTGATTGTAGCATGACATAACATAAAAAGCGGTTGTGACTACAACCTACAGGCCTGAACTCAGGCGGGAAATCATGGTATGTTTACAACACAAACCACTTTGTGCGGCCATCTTTAGATCATCATGTTTTTGTGATTATGTTAACATGTCGGTGTAAAATGTCACCCTTACTCAATATCTGTACCATCCTAAAAATAAAAAAAAAAATAAAATTTTCAAAATTAACCGTTTAACATCATTGTTTACAAAAGAGTCATTGTTTCCAAAAAAAACATTATTTCAAAATCAGAGTTTCCTAATACCCAATGCCATAAAAATAGGAAGATGTGCACGATCACACCTTTGCTTTCCCACGATCCTCAGAAGTACCTGAAACAATAAACTAAAATTGTAGGTCAAAGTTTAGTGAGCTCCCCCAAAGTACCAACACACCCAACATATAACAACATATATTGGGTCCACAGCCTATGTCTGGAATACCCCTACAAGGTCCTCATCATAAGTCTGGATTGCCCATGAGCCCACAGTATGAGTCTGGCATGCCTATCAGACCCTCAGCTCATATATAGATTGCTCCCGAGCCCACAACATAAGTATGGCTTGCCCTCGGGGCCCACAGCTTATGTCTGGATTGCTTCGGGTTTTTCGGCTACCACAGAAAGCAGTACAACCTCAACCCAACCTAATATATCAACATATGAAACAGATAAACTTAAACACATAGCCAGCAAATACAGATAATCATATAAATCTACTACTCAGCTAAATACCAGTATATCACTATCTTATAACCAGGATACATAAACTAGTAGGTTGGCATTGGTGTCTTTGACCCACGGTACAATGAGGAAAACTCGCCTCTTAGACTGACAAATAGATGAACAACACAATGCTCTGAATACATCCTTTACATGTCACTTAATTATTAGATAGAGAACAAGGCTAAATTATAGCTCAGAATACTCAAAATACCCTTAAGTCAAACTTGGTCAACCCTGGTCAAAGGTCCAAACCTCAACAATTCTTCACAGCGGATTACGCCCAGCGTAATACTAGAGTACGCCCAGCGTACTTTGTTGTTGGCCAAAAAGCGGGGCGCTATCCTTGTACGCGCAATGTAACTCCGGGTACGCCCAGCGTACGCTGCCCAGTCTCAAAACTCCATTAAGAGCTTAATCTATTAAGCCCTTCCGCCCAAAACTCATATCCAAGCCCAAAATGATGTTCTAAGTCATAAAGTTTTCAACTTTATGACTTTACTGTTGGGTTATGAGCATTCTAACACTCCTAAGTGTACATGCAACCCTAAATACCTTAGATCTATGTT